GGTGCCTCAGTTTGTCCTAGGACTCTGTTCATACGCCATCGCAGTTCCCTACTGTGACCGTTGGAACGTTCCGGCACACTGGGTCGGTGGCAAAGGGAAAAATCTTTCCCTACTCAAGGTGATCACCCTTGCGAGGGTCCCTCTAAAATTCTCACCCCTGTTACGGGGCTCTAAGAGTTGAAGCCTGAACCCTGATCCACCAGCCAACGCAACACCCCACCCCAATCGCCACCTTGAAAGTAGCGTGCAGCCACCCACATGACCAAGATCGGCAGCTCTCATGCAACAGAGCAAGACACACAGAGGAGAAACTGAGGTGCACCAAATGCAGAGATAGCACACTAGAAGGCAAAGAGAGACTCAAAACAGATGCTCTGGAAGAAGTAATGGCAGAAATGGTTCTTTCTGGCCATTCTACCCCCGCCACTGCCACGATCGCCATCTTCTAGTAGCAATTGTTATAGTTATTTTAAATTGAAGAGCACTCAGAACTGAATATGGAATGTTGCCTTTGATCAGGTCAGCCATATTTTCCTAGTTAGCTCATAACTATCTTTCCGGGAAGGAGGTTTCCAGCAACTGAGGCAACCCAGGCTTTGATAAGGAGAAGGGACAAGGCTAATTATTTTGCTTATTTATTACAAATAATTCAAGGAGATAAACAACACAACACTCCTTCCGCCTGCTGTTTTCCCCACAATAACAACCCTATGAAGTGAGTTGGGGCTCAGGGAGAGTGACCGACCCAAAATCACCCAGCTGGCTTTCATGGCTAAAGCGGGACTAGAACTCACAATCTCCTGGTGATTGGCCCAAAGTTACCAACTAGCTTTCATGGCTAAATTGGGATTAGAACTCACAGTCTCCTGGTGATTGGTCCAAAGTCACCTAGCTGGCTTTCATACCTAAGGTGGGACTACAATTTATTATAACTAGTCCTAGTCATGCACCTTGTCATAATTTATCATAAGTAGGCCTAATTATCCAGCTCATTATCATAATGTATTATAATTAACCATAATTACATTATACTACCTCACAAAGTCTCATATAAAAAGAGGTGGATGCATAGACTGCACATATACATAACCTGCTGTTCTTCCTGGCATCCCCAATGAAGTCCACTATCTCCTGCATGCAGAAAGGACCGGCTTGATCCTCTCATCTAAATGCTCAACTGCCACCTCTTCCTTTAGAAGAACACCTTCCAAAACAGCTGGTTTTCCATACGCCTGTGAATGTGATCAACAGAGCTAGCTACTCGAATGCACCTGGGGTCTTCATTTCAGAGGGATACCCAGTGGTACGATGGTTAACAGCAAGGATCCGAAAAGCATACACCACTGCGGGATCCAGACCACCCAACTTTCGGCCACGGACATCAGGATCAATGTTGTTGGCCACTGTTTCCCAGCTGCTGGTCATCTGCTTTGGGCCGGTCTTTTTTGCTTCTCTCCTCTGGACTACAAAGCCAGTCAGGTTTCCTGAGCCTCGAGTTTCCCATTCCAGTTCCACCTCTGTACGGGGGCGAGTGTACATCAGTCTGCTGATTGTCACATTGGGTGGGTTGGGGTATTCTGGAAAGAAAAGAAAAGGCGTATGGTTGTTGTTTGTTTACGAATTAGCATTCTAGAATCCCTCCCTCTTCCATGGGGCATCTTTAGTTTGGGAAGCAAAGGCATAAGAGAAAAACGATTGACAGGATCCCCCCTTTGTCCCATGGCAATAAAGTGCAAACAATCATTGAAAGAAATTAGAAAAAAAAAATCAAAATCATAAGAAGTTATAGAAGCAGGATCCTCCTTTGCAGGGGAAGAAAACTTGGAGAAATTGGAAGACACATGTGGATATGGTATTCCCACTCCATGGATTTATGCTTCCCGGGTTTGGGCGATCTAAAGGAGTTTTGTGGTACACCTCAAGAATCAATGGATGGTAATTAATCAAGGAGAGAAGCAACCTAGAATAAGGAGAAATTTCCTGAGAGAACAATCAGTGAAACAATCTGCCTCCAGAAGTTATGGATGCTCCAACACTGGAGGTTTTTAAGAAGAGATCTGTCTGAAATGATATGGTATGAAATGAGCAGGGGGTTGGTCTAGAACAGCGGTTCTCAACCTATGGGTTGCGACCCCATTTGGGGTCGATCGACCATTTCACGGGGGTCACCAAGCAAGGCTGTCCGCCATTTTTTCCCCCCTTTTCCGGCAGGTGCCTTACCTCCCTTGGGCTGGGCCAGCTGGTGGTCGGCCTGCTCCGTCTCTGCCGCTTGCCAGCTACGCCTCAGCCGGCGCAGGGGGCGGAACCACGCATGCGCGGTGCTCCCTGGCAGGGAAAGTCCTCGACTTACGACCGGTTGGGTAGTCCTCGACTTACGACCGGTTTAGTCCTCGACTTACGACCAGTTTAGTCCTCGACTTATGACCGGTTGGGGGTTGCGGCATTAAAAAGGTTGAGAACCACTGGTCTAGAAGACCTCCAAGGTCCCTTCCAACTCTGTTATTCTGTTATTCAACTTACTTTTTACCTGGAGGCTGATTGTGGCAGAGTCATTGCCCACAGCATTAATGGCAGCACAACGGTAAATGCCGCTATCCCGTATCCATTCTATGTCCTGGAGGGTCAAATTAAACCAAGTATTCTTCTGCTGAAGATGGTATTTCCTAGTGTTTGCTGTAATAGGCTGGTTCTTATTGTTGTACCACAAGACTTCAGAGCCCAAATAAGCACCTTGGAGGAAGCAGGCCAACTGGACCTCACTGCCTTCAAACAATGACACCTTGGACCGTTCCACCATAAGCTTGGGGGGTTCTGTGCATAAAACAAAGCAAAGTAGAAGAAACTAAGTCTCAAAACCATCAGCTTGAAGAAGAGCAGTAACCAGGCTGTGACCTTTCCCTCCACCCCACAACGACTCTGGACCTTCAACATCCAGATGGATGCTTTTCCTGAAACACCTTCCCAATGGGAACAACCTCATACATTAACATTCTAGTAAATGACCAGCAAAGTCCACAGTGGCAGCCATATTGCCAAAGTAGTTCTGCATGTTCTCAAAATATCTAGCCAGCTCTCCAAAAATTACTTGCTCTGAATTTTTCCTGCTTTGCAACAATCCTCCAAATTATCAAGAAGAGGCTTCTTCACCATTGGCTCCGTGATCTTTTCAAATTGGAGGATATCTAGGACCGAGCCCAAGATCAAAGGGAAGGCCAAGTATAGCACTAGAGGACAATTCGATTACATGATTTGGTTGTGACTGAATAAAGAGACAGGGAGGAAGGGATCAGCTTGGGACAGGTAATGGAACAGTGTCCTTCACACTGCAATGAGCCAGGCAGTCCTCCCTTGACTCTGTTATTCTTTCTTGACCCATATTTATCTGCTTACCCAGACGGACATGGCACTCAGCAGTTCTTGCCCACAGAGGGTGAGCTGCCATGCAGGTGAACGCCTTGCCTCCAAGGGTGGTGTTGGGCTTCATGATAAAAACATTGTGTGATGGTTTCGTGCCTCCCAGCACATGATGCCTCCAGTCTCTCCACCAGAGCATCACCTGAGGGTTTCCCCCTGGCCAGTCACAGGTCAACATGAGGAATTCATTGAGTTTGGTCGCTATGACACTGCAGGCCAACGTCCCTTTTGGAACCCCTGAAATGAATTGGTAAGATTTCAGAGGCAGCTTGCCTTGGCGTACTTCCTAGGATTCCTAATAATCGTGATTATTAGTAAGATAACCTTTCATAAATAAGACTAATGAATGAGCCAGGGACATTATCATAAAGAGGAGTCCAACAAATTATTATAATCTATGATAGGAAGGAAGGAAGGAACTGTGCCTGAATACTGAAGGAGGTTATAACCACTCTGACTGCATAGGGTTTTTTGTCCCCGTAATTGCATTTCATTAAAAGAAAAGAAGGAGAAGTTTAATTAATCATAGATTGTTGCTGTAGCATAATTAGCATTTCAGCATCGACATTTGGGAGTCTCAACATCTGTCTCTGAGAATAGCAGGAGGTTGGTACTCACAGACGGTGGTCCTGCAAATGGCATCCTTTCGCAGGGCTGGATGGGAAGCCAGGCAGATATAGGAAGTCCCATTGGGAACATCTGCACCCCGATGGATTTGAATAGCTCTGGAGAAGCTTCCCGTGTCGGTTTCTTCTGCCCTCGATTTTGCCCACCGCAAGCGCACTGAAGGGAATCCCCCTGGCCATAAACAATGCAGAGCAAGGTCTTGGAAATTGGAGGCAGGGAGCGACATGCAGTTGAGCTGTCCCTTGGGCAGATCTGTGCACAGGGTAAACATCATATCAACAGCAACGAGGACTTACTGGGGCCAAAAACATCCATGGAAGAGATAAATAAATAAGGTGGTGGTGGCAAAGAGCAGGATCCCATCCCTGCTGCTTTGGGATTAGACACAAAAGCTTCTTTGACCCGCAAGATGTTTGCATCCATCTTCTCCATGCCCACCCAAATCATTGCTCTCACAAGCCAACCTCTACCCAAAGTTGACCAGCAGTTTATGCATTGTCCTCTCAGAATCTCATGACTTTTTGACCAGGACAAGGAGATATAACAGATATTTGCTTACTCTTTGCATTGGCATACTGGGGAAAAGTTTGATGACAGAAGTGGCATCAAGTAGCTGAAGGAGACAGAGAACCCTTGCTGTGAAAAAAAAGTTGGCAACTGCCTGCTTGCAGATATTCCTTGGTGGGAAAAGAAGCTGGGGGAAAGGGTCTACTGCCCTCTCTCTTTACACTTTCCATTGGTAAACTAAACCACGGAGCTGAGAGTTACATGGGCAAACTCATAATTTATGGCTTCCTCTTTTGACACCCTCATATTTTTTTTAAGCTTTGAATTCCTTTGGTTTTCCATCTCTGTAAATCCTCTCACCCATCTTAACTTGTTTCTTGCTCAAGAACACAGTCATCTGTGCAATAGCTTTACATGAATGCATTATAAAGTCCTGGGTGTTGGGTCAATATCTTTGAAGTGGTCTTCAATGAAATAATGTCCTATGTCAGTGGTGGTGAACCTATGGCATGCGTGCCAGAGGTGGCACGTGGAGCCCTCTCTGTGGGCACGCGCCATCACCCCAGCACACGTGGTCTCTAAAGGTTCGCCATCACTGGCTAAGGCCAGCCAGCCTGGAGCCGCCATTGGGGAGCCCACCATCTCACCTGCCAGAGACCCCCTGGATCTCCCCCAACCCTGCCCGGCTCCCACAGGTGTCCCTCCCCATAAGCAACACCCAGGCCATGCCCACCCAGTCTGCCATGACTACTGCAGCCACACCCATCCAGTGGTCATGCCCATCCAGTCTGCCACGCCCACTGTAGCTGCACCCGCTGAGTGGGCCACACCCACCCGGCACCCGGTGATACATAAGTGGGTTTCGGGTTGCAGTTTGTGCACTCGGTCTCTAAAAGGTTCGCCATCACTGTCCTATGTAAATTCTAGCCCTGATCTCAAATAGGATTGTGTCCTCTATATGATGATGGTTTCATTTGTGAATTTAGTTTGTAAAGAAAGATTAGGAAAATGAATTTCTCCCACACCCCACAGCTCAAATTCTTTATGGTACCATCCAGATAAAACTGCATCACATGATAGTGGTGATGATATAGAAATTGGAAGGCTCTACATAATTTCAGGGAATCTAAGGATCTCGCAGGTTGCTCTTTGAGGTGTTGCTTGTTTTGAAATATCCTAGCTTAATTTAGTCAATGTTGTTATCAAACATCTATTTCAATAGTCAACAGGCAACAAACATCACAACAAAGAACCTGCTTTGGTCCACCTGAAGAACATCTGGTTGCTCTCTGCTGCAAGATACAAAAGCAACATTGACCAATGACTATTTTCCCATTATATTACGGTAATTCTTTTAGCAAGTTGGCCTCCTTCCCCGTGGCTATTCCATACAGTAATCCATGGATTTTTTTTCACTTTTGTTTCTCTTTTGCAAAAAAGACAATTTGAAGAATTTGACCAGAAAGAACAGAGACTCTGTTGACACAAGACATAAAAGACCTGGCCACATGAAAAATGCAATAATCGGGGTACAGAAAAAGAACTGTCTATCATTCTGTCAGAAGGGATGCTAAAATGTGACTACAGAAATTGGAAACCATGGTAGAAGAGGCAATCGCCACCTTCTTTTGGAATTGATATTTTACACCAAAATTATGTTGACATTTTTCTTTTGGCATCTTTTCAGCTGTGCCAGGATGGTAAAGTTTGGAATAGTGAATTTGATAAAAAAAAATATCTAGAAGACCGAAGGACAGGAAGCAACAGAACATGCTAAAACCTCATGCCTGGGAAGATAGGAAAAGGTAACTTACAATAGACAGTCAAGATAATAGTTGCCTGGGTCCGAGTATTCAGATGCATATTCTGGGCTAAGCAAGTATAGATGCCTGTTTGAGTCCGTGAGATTCTGGCAATCACATACTTCTGTCCGGAGTAGACTTGAGAGCTGTTATAGAACCAAATGTAGTGGCTGGGAGGATTGGAAGGAGCTAGACATGTCATGATCACTTCTTCTTGTTCATTGGCTGAGAAGCCATGTTGGTTAATTGCAAATGGCTCTATGCTGATCACCGGCTCATCTGGACCATCTATGGAAGATTAAACTGGTTAACAGAATGCAATCTGAAGAAGGTACTTCTGTTGATGAGATGCTGAGCATCTGAGGATAGACCTCCCCACTCTGGTGTGCTTCTAATCCCCTGGAGTTCCTATTCAATCAAGTCAATACATCAGGATCAGAAGTGGACCAGATAAGAAAAAAAATCTGACACAATCCTCTTCGTTAGGAATTGTCTGTTTTATTTAATGGTCTACACCTGGCAAGATTAAGATCTGATTGGCCGCACACAAAGTTTCCCCAAAATAGAAAAAAATGGCCTTATTGACCGGTTGCTTACAGATAACGTCCAGGTACATCCCATTGCTGGTTTGGCTGTTGACCTCATTGTGAGCTGTGCAAGTGTACCAACCCATGTATGTCCGGTTTGCTGAGGTCAAGTTTAAGAGAGGTGTCACTGCTTCGGCAAGAACCACCATGCCATCTCGGTTAGTGTCGTGCTGCCAAGAATAAACAATAGGAGGTGTCCCTTCTTTCACTGTGCAGATCATCACAACCGGCATGCCTTCCACGGGTGTTGAATTGTTCATCTGCAGAAAGGGCTTGGGAACTGGGACTGGGGAGAAAAGCTTACTTAAGAACCTATTTTACTTAACCTTCCACCCTACAGCAAGTGGGAAAAATGATTTCAAAGATTTGGTAGCAAAAAGATTACTTAATTCTGGCTTACATTGCAAATACAGTGGGTTGAAGTCCCGGAGGACTTCAGCTTACACTTATATAGAGAGCATCACAGGCTTGTTCAGACAAGAGGCAGGAATGACGGGCTTGGGTGTTTTTTTTTCATAATGCAGATTTTTTTTTTAAAGCATCTGAACATTGCAACAGAGGAGTTCTTTGCTTCCCTTCCTCTGCTGAAAACGCCAGGCTATGTGCCCAAGGAAAAGTAACAAATCAACTTGTCTTGTGATTAAAGGCAAAGATGAAGTATTGCTGAAGGTGAATGACATACCTGGGAGAGAGAATCCTCCATCAGCCAAAGAGCTTTAATAATTTGAGTTTGACCAGCCTGATTGGGGGCAAGAACAGTTGGCCAGGGAGCATCAACATTGAAAGGCTATTTGCAACATTGTGCAAGGAGAAAGTTTTTATTCCTGCATCATTAACTGATCTGATTACAGGATGACTCAATCAAAAACACTGTTCTTTTTAGGGATGTCAGGAGTGAGGTACATTTCTTTCTTTCTTTCTTTCTTTCTTTCTTTCTTTCTTTCTTTCTTTCTTTCTTTCTTCCTTCCTTCCTTCCTTCCTTCCTTCCTTCCTTCCTTCTCTCTCTCTCTCTCTCTCTCTCTCTCTCTCTCTCTCTCTCTCTCTCTCTCTCTCTCTCTCTCTCTCTCTCTCTTTCTTTCTTTCTTTCTTTCTTTCTTACCACCTATCTCATCTACAGGCAATTTTTCTTTTAGCAAGGAAAGGGTTAGGTAGAGTATAGAGTCTTTAATTAGAAGCAGGAATAGTTCCTTTGGGTCCGACAGGGTTATGAGGAGACTAAGGAATTGAACCTGATCCCTCTTGGTGTTTGCAAGATCAGAGGGGAAGTCCTGGAAATCAACTCTCAACTCATTTCAGCCACAAACACTCTATTTCCTCAGA